TTGAGACCTTGAAGCAGATAGGATCGGTGTCAGAATATCATATTGAGTTTGAAAGGCTGGCTCATGGGATGCTTCTGTACAATGATCATTATGATGACACTTTCTTTGTGACCCGTTTTATGGCTGGATTGAAGGAAGAGATCAGGGCTGCTATCGCCTTACATCGTCCTCAAGATGTTGCTACAGCCAGTGTGTTGGCTGCTTTATAGGAAGATGAGTTGAGTCGTTGTCGGTCAAAACCCTTTGGGCGGGATTTCACCAAGAATGGGTTCAAGCCGGCAGCTAACAAAGTGAAGGGTGCTGATGGAGAAATGGGTAAAACCAACCTGAACAAGTCTGATCAGGGGGACAAGTTAGCAACACTCAGGGACTACAGGCGTCAAAATGGCCTCTGTTTCAAGTGTGGGGGTAAGTGGGATAAAGCTCACAAGTGTCCTGCCCAAATTCCTCAGCATGTGTTAGAAGAGTTGTTAGATGCTTTGGAAGATGATGGTCATGAGATGGATTGTCCTGAGGAAGAAGTTGTAGAGGATGTGGTGTTAGCTGTGGGACAGACTCCATCTGATGATGTGATCAGAAGAAAAACAATGAAATTGTGTGGCAAGATTGCAAAAGTGGAAGTGTTGATTCTTGTTGATTCTGGAAGTGTCGGAACTTTCATAAGTGAGCAGTTGGCCAGTAAGCTTCAGTTGCAGACTGTTGATTGTGCTCCAGTTCATTTTGTGGCAGCTGATGGGGGTCCTATGGTTTGCTCACAGAGAGTGGAAGAATTACAGTGGGTTGTTCAAGGGCATACATTTGTATCCTCAGTTGGCATTCTTCCATTGAAAAGCTTTGACATGATTTTAGGCCAGGATTGGTTGGAATCTCATAGTCCTATGTGGGTTCACTGGGCACATAAAGAAATGAGGTTTACCAAGGATGGCCAGAGGATATCATTAAAAGGTGTAAAACAGGATCTGACCAAGTGCACTCCACTATGTGGTCAAAGGCTAAAAGGGCTGCTGAATAGGAAGGCTGTTACCCATTGTGTGCAGTTCAAGCTTGCTGAAAATGAGGTCTTACAGGTGGAATGTGAAGAAGTTCATGCTATCAAGGCTGTGTTGACAGAACAGGAGTTGTTGCCTGAAATCAAACAGTTATTAGAAGAGTATGCTGACTTGTTCCAGACCCCAACAGCATTACCTCCACAGAGACAGTTTGACCATCATATACAGCTAATACCAGGGGCTCAACCTGTGAACATCAGACCCTACAGGTATTCACCATCTCAGAAGGATGAGATTGAAAGTCAACTGTCTGAAATGCTGAAAAATGGAATCATAAGGCCTAGTGCTAGCCCCTATGCATCTCCAGTCCTGTTGGTGAGAAAAAAAGATGAGTCATGGAGATTTTGTGTAGATTATAGGAAGAACTGATAGATGAGCTGGCAGGAGCTCAGTGGTTCTCCAAACTGGACTTTAGGGCAGGTTATCACCAGATTTGCATCACTCCTGAGGATACCTTCAAGACAGCATTTAAAACTCACAATGGTCTATATGAATTCTTGGTTATGCCCTTTGGATTGACTAATGCCCCAGCAACCTTTCAAGGCATCATGAACATAATCTTTCAGAAGTTGTTAAGAAAAGGGGTGCTAGTGTTCATGGATGATATCCTCATTTATTCAGCAACACTTGAGGAACATTTGAAACTGTTGAAGGAGGTATTTGATATCCTCAGGAAGCATCAGTTTTATATCAGGTTGTCTAAGTGCTCATTTGCTACTGCTGAGGTGGAGTATTTGGGACACTGTATCTCTGGAGCTGGGGTATCAACTGAGCCATCTAAAATTATTGCTGTAAAAAACTGGCCTCAACCAAAGAATTTGAAGGAACTCAGAGGGTTCTTGGGGTTGACTGGGTATTACAGGAAATTCATTAGGCACTGTGGCCTGATTAGTAAGCCCTTATCTGAGTTACTCAAGAAGGGTGTGCCTTATATTTGGACATCTATCACTGACAATGCCTTTCAGCAACTCAAACAGGCTTCGATTCAGGCTCCAGTATTGGCCATCCCAGATTTTTCACAACCTTTTGTACTGGAAACTGATGCCAGTGATTTGGGATTTGGTGCTGTGTTAATGCAAAAGGACCATCCAGTAGCTTATCTCAGTAAGGCTGTCTGTACTAAGAATCAAGGTTTATCCACTTATGAGAAGGAATGTATGGCAATTTTGATGGCTGTGGACAAGTGGAGACCTTACTTGCATCAGCCCTTCATCATCAAAATTGATCACAGGAGTTTGCTTCACCTTACTGATCAAAGGATCCTAACTAAAATTCAACAAAAAGCCTTAGTCAAGCTTATGGATCTGCAATACAGAATTATCTATAGACAGGGTCCTTCAAACCTTGCTGCTGATGCTTTGTCTAGGAAAACTCAAGAGCAAGTCATTTGTGCCTTGGCCATTTCGGATTCATCCTGGTTACAGAAGGTAGTGGATGTCTATGAAGATGATTCTGAGGCTAAAGAACTGGTGGCAAAGCTCCATTCAAGCAATGGTGAGTGTGGGCCATTTACTTTACATGATGGGTTGATCAGGTGCAATGGTAGAGTCTGGTTGGGTAAAAATGAGTTGGCCCAATAGCATGTCATGTTGGCAGTACATTCTTCTGGAGTGGGTGGTCATTCAGGGTTTCTGGCAACATTGCATAGGATTAAGCAGTTGTTTGCTTGGCCTAATATGAAGCAACATGTTAAGCAGTTTGTGGCAGCTTGTGAAACCTGTCAACAGGCCAAAGTGGAACATGTAAGAGTGCCTGGATTATTGCAGCCCTTGCCTGTTGCTGATCAGGCTTGGCGGACTATCTGCATGGATTTTATTGAAGGGTTGCCAAAGTCAAATAGATTTGATACCATTTTGGTGGTTATTGACAAATTCACCAAGTATGCTCATTTCATTTCACTGTCACATCCATTTACTGCATTACAAGTTGCCCAGGCTTTCATGGAAAATGTGTATAAGCTGCATGGTCTACCTACTGCAATTATATCAGACAAGGATAAAGTGTTCACCAGTCACCTTTGGACAGAGCTGTTTAGGTTGACTGACAAAAAGTTGCTTATGAATTCATCATATCACCCACAGACTGATGGACAATCTGAGAGACTGAATCAATGCTTAGAGACTTTTCTGAGGTGTGCTGTTCACTCCTGTCCTAAGCAGTGGCATAAGTGGCTTCCCTTGGCTGAGTATTGGTACAATACCAATTACCATTCTTCATTGGGCTACTCTCCTTTTCAAGTGTTATATGGTCATTCTCCTCGGCACTTTGGGATATCTAATGAGGTCAGTTTTCATGCTCCAGATCTGGATCAGTGGTTGACTGAGCGACATTTGTTGGAAGATGTAGTTAAACATCATCTACATAGGGCTCAGCAAAGGATGAAAAATCAGGCTGACAAGAGGAGATCCGAAAGGGAATTTGCTGTTGGAGATTTGGTGTATCTCAAGTTACAACCCTATATTCAGTCCTCCATTGCTCCCAGGTCTAATCAGAAGTTGAGTTTCAGATTCTATGGGCCATTCAAGATTGTGGCTCAGGTTGGCAAGGTGGCTTATAGGCTGGAGCTCCCACCGGAAGCTAAGATTCACCCGGTTGTCCACGTTTCACAACTTAAGCAGCATATTCCGGCCTCCATGGTGGTGGATGAGGATATTACTGCTATACCGGTGGATCATTCTATTGCTTTGACACCTGTCAGTTTTCAGGCATCACGAATGGTTCACAAAGGGGCTTCGGTGCTCTCACAGATTCAGGTCCGGTGGTCTGGGTGCTCGCCTAATCTGACGACTTGGGAAGAGGCGTCAGATTTACGACGACGCTATCCATCAAGCCCAGCTTGGGGTCAAGCTGGATTTCAAGGGAAGGGGAATGTCATGAATAAGAGGCATAAGACCAAGGCGCACGGCACTGTTGGTCGTCCGACAACAAAGGAAGCGGAGGTGAATGTTGACAGGATTAGTGGCTGACGGGTGGACCCGTGTTAGTTAGCTTAGTTGTCAAGTTAGTCGGTTGATTGGCGGTTCACGGGCGGTTATATAAGCCCGATATAACATTGGACTCGGCATCGATGAAATAACTGAACTCTGAAACTATTCTGTCTGTTCTTCCTCGTGCTGTTCTTGCTCTTCCCTGCCTAAATTCCCTTCCAATTCCATTCTGGAACCCAGTTATCGTCCGATCCCCCAAGGATCGTGACATTTTGTTTGGATAGTAAGGAGTACTATAGCAATTGCTAGGCTTTATAGTTGAATTTATACTGAATTATTAGCATTTCAGGTGACTCCAGCCGGAGCTATTGTTCATGCCCTGAAGTGAACTACCCTTGAAGTTGCATTCATCTGTAAGGCAGCACATATCCTTTGCCGAATACACATAATCGCCCTGTTCGTTTGGACTTGTTTGGCTTATAAGCCGTACGTTTTCAGCCAACGAACAGTATTTTTCTTTCAGCCATGACTTATCAGCCAAACAAGCCCAAACGAACAGGGCGAATATTGTTGGTTCAGTTTGGCATTACAAGGTTTAGAGGTAACCCAAGTCATAGTTTTCAAATGAACTTGTTGCACAAATAAGTGCTGCCATTATCTACTTCTAGACACACAAAAGTTAATCTTTTTGAATGTCACAAAAGTTAGTCTTTTGCTCTGAATTTGATCACAAAAGTTCATCTTTGCTCTGATGTCCACACAAGTTTGATTTCATGGTGATGTCCTACGTGGCAGTCAAATTATATTTTTTTAAAAAAATATCAAGAAATACGAGGAAGAAAAAGCCCTGGCCTTAAGTCACCACCAACCAAAACCCAACTGACGATCACCATCGCCGCTAGCCTCCACCACCAACTCCCCATCGCCTCCCCCTCTTGGCTCACCTCACCTCCACTCCTGATCTCACCTCACCTCTCCTCCCCGAGCTGCAGCACCTCCCGCCACCCCACACGCGCCCGCCCCCATGGCCGCCACCGCGATCTCAGTCCGCCTCCACCCCACCGCGGCGCGCCATGTCGCCTCCTCCGCCCGCCGCCACCCCACCGCGGCGCGCCATGTCGCCTCCTCCGCCCGCCGCGCCCGCCTCGGTTCCGTCCGCGCGCAGTCCGCGCCGGCGGCGGCGGCCGCGCTGACGCAGGACGACCTCAAGCGGCTGGCGGCGGTGCGCGCCGTCGAGCAGGTGCAGAGCGGGATGGTGCTCGGGCTCGGGACGGGCTCCACGGCCGCCTTCGCCGTCGCCGAGATCGGCGCGCTCCTGGCCGCCGGCAAGCTCGAGAAGATCGTCGGCGTGCCCACCTCCAAGCGCACCTTCGAGCAGGCGCAGTCGCTCGGCATCCCGCTCTCCACGCTCGACGACCACCCGAGCATCGACCTCGCTATCGACGGTGCCGACGAGGTCCGCTCTTGTCTCATTGCCGCTTTTTTTTTTCTTCCTTTGGGTTGGGTATGGGCTGTATAAACCAATCAAACCATCTTCAATCCCGGGGAAAAGCTTATACAGAAAATAAATCATCTCCTTTGATTGCTTCTTGGTAATATTTGTACTAGTGATTAGTGGTACCTGCGAGCTAGAGTTGCTGTCGTGTAAAAATTTGGACATGGAAGGTTTGACTTTGCACATACGTCATACCTTGTCCTGTTGCTGACTGCATGAAAGAAGATGAGTCCCTGTGTTATTTTGTCTGTTCATAGTGAGAAAAAGTGACTTTGGCCTTTAGCCTTTTTGTCATTTGAAAGGTTGTGTTTCGTTGGAATGTTCTGAAATTTTGTATTTTTGTGGTCAGGTTCCCAAAGTACCATAGGAAATATCAACAATTCGAATACGGTCAATATTATGCCAACTTTATGCTGCTATTTTCTCCAAATGCTTACAGTTTTTTGGGGATTCCTGACTTCCTGTTGTATTCATCAAACCACTATATTTTTGGTTGGCTAATTACATTCCTTAATTAAAACAGGTTGACCCTGACCTGAACCTCGTGAAAGGGCGGGGTGGTGCTCTTCTTCGTGAGAAGATGGTTGAGGCAGCATCAGCCAAGTTTATCGTTGTTGTTGACGAGACAAAACTAGTTGATGGATTAGGAGGTAGTGGTCTAGCCATGCCAGTGGAAGTTGTGCAGTTCTGCTGGAAGTACAACCTAGTCAGATTGCAGGAACTGTTTAAGGAGGAAGGAGTCGAGGCAAAGCTTAGATTTGAAGGCGACAAGCCCTATGTCACTGACAACTCAAACTACATCGTCGATTTATACTTCAAGACGCCAATCAAGGATGCATTGGCAGCAGGACAGGAAATTGCAGCATTGGAAGGAGTTGTTGACCATGGGTTGTTCTTGAACATGGCGAATTCAGTGATCATTGCTGGAACGGACGGTGTCAGTGTCAAAACGAAGTGAGTTTTTGAGTTACTTTGCTGGTTGTGTTGAATTTTACAATTTAATGTATAAGCTATTGGTGTAAGCAGGTAATAAGATGCTTCAATAAATATGTTCCCCAATGTTCCTCTAGTTCACATTCATACATTTAGTTTGTGCTGTGAGGATTGACAATCAATCTACTCTATTGTGGGATAAAAAGCCATTTTACTAGGTTGAAACTTCTGTTGATCCATAAAAATATTTGATTGATTCTGGTGTGTTATCTTGCAATCTGTTGGACCAAGTGTCTTTGACATCTCTTGCACTACAGTGTTTTTAATGAACTTGGGCCCTGCATGTATATTTGTAAGATCAGAATGTGGTTCAACCTAGCAATCTAATTGTCTTTGAAAAATGGAAAGTTTGGCCAGAAAAACGTTTCTCCTAAAAACTGATTTTTGAGATGTTGCGGAAAAAATAAAATAAAATGTGAATGTTGCCTCCTGACTGCTGAATTTGGTAAATAAAGTGAGGCTGTATGCTACACTACATGTTGTCAATGATGCAAACTTCCAAAAAATAATATTTAGTGCAGAAAAAAAGGTTTGTGTATGTTGGCTGATATAACTAGGCAGAAGATGGTGTATATGTGCCACTTTCAGCAAATCAGTTCAAGTGTCTCCATGTTATATTGTTAGGAACAGAAGTTCGACATGAATCCCTAAACTACTTTCAGAAACCTGAGTTGGGAAAGGACCAATATGTGGGTGTATGATTTCAACAAGTGCTGCTTAGTTTTCACCAGTAAAACTTGGATGGAACTGGTCAACGACAATTGTGCTTGTATGGGATGAATTACCTGGTCCGGTTGAATTGTTTGGAAGGTCATCAGATTTTACTGATCAGGTAGGTTTTCATCAGCTTGAACTGGGGTGTAGAGTTGCAGCAAGTATATTTTTATGTTTTTGCAGTGACAAATGGAAGAACAAGTAACACAAGGACAGGCAAATGCATCCTGAGCCCAGGAAACGCAGGCAAGCAAGTTATAATGACATGCTCTCAACCCTGACACCAGCAAATTGGCAAATGCTTATGGTAGCTTTGGTGCAGTTGTGAAAGCCTTTTGTTTTGGAGAACAAATGTTGATTGTTTATCTATGGGTCGTGCAGAGCAGCAAGGGACGGCTCTGAACCAGTTTTCTATAGAAGATATATATAAATCAAGAACAGAATTGAAGGACCATAAACACCAGATCTGAACCAGTTCTCTATAGAAGATATATATAAATCAAGAACAGAACTGAAGGACCATAAACATCTCACTGTTTTCATGATCTGCAGAAAAATACAAAATGCAATGACAATGAAATGTCAATAGAAAATGGCTCTCCAAATGTCAACTCTTGCTAACCGACATGGTTTCAAGATACAATTTGACAGGCATCTAAGGTATTTTCATCTGATTGGTAAATTCTCAAGCATGTTATTACAGGTTTACAGAAACAGGACGATTGCCGAACTAACAACATGTCTACATGTTGCAGTATTCCACTAAGACCAGTCAAGTGAAAAAATCACAATACTTAAACTGTACAGGGTAGACTGAAGCTTGTTAAGATACAAAGCTATTGCAGGTTTAGTCTTGCACTTACAGGCCTCTGGTTATAGTCCAGTTTCTTTCAAACTCCTTGACAACCATATGGCTGTCTCTCTTGGAGATGCCTTACCGGGTCCGAATGGCTTCAGCAAGATCCCCAACTCCTCAAACCTCTCCTGCTGTAGCAATTGGACACTGAACTCAAGCAATCCCTCCAGAGCCTCAGCTCTCTGCTGGTAAGACCTCGTGTCAAACCTTCTCTGCCTCCAATCAGATGAACTCCTAGGTGAATTGTCAGCACCAAGAAGGTCGATGTCAGGAGAGTCAACGTAGTTTTCGCTATCGCTTCGGAGCACTTGGAAAGTGCACTTGTCCTTGGTAATGGATTGATCAATGACAGATGGCGATGTGAGCTTTGTGATGCGATGCAATGGGTTTTGAAAGGATGCTAGTGGAAATTCAGCAATTCTGTCGATTCGAGGAGAGTTTACTGAAACGTCAGGAGATTTCAATCTGGTGAGAATGTCGGTGGCCTGCCTCTTATCGACCATACGCATGGGGAGTGATTCTCTCCGTGTGGCTTGACCCGTTTGGTTTGTTGAAGACCTTGACGATGGAGGCTGCTGGTGTCAAAACAACATAAGTTATGCAGAATTGCTTCAAAGCTAACAAGTTGCCAATTAAAATATTTTAAGATGCCACAAGCAGCTAGAAGCAATCTTTCAACATTTTTCTTCTTGGTAAGAGGCAAGGAAATGTCAGTTTCTGAAAAACCTAGTTGCTCTTCATTTTCTGAAGAACAGGTTAGTGCATTAGTGGTGTCTACTGGCTAGGGACTGGTAATATCAACAGTTATGTTGTGAAATCAACAATGACTGACAATAAGGCTACCAACAACTTGTTGACTTTTCAAATGGTCAGGTACTTCATACCTCCTTGTGAGCTGTTCTAGCATGAAATGTCTTTGAAGGTTCTAGATGTCTTCTTGGTGTCGATGAAGCTCTTCTCGGAGTAGGTGCAGGAGATCTTGTAACTTTTGAATACTTTTGATGTGTCAGTTCGTCAGTAACATTCTTGGTGACTTCGACTGGCAATCCCTCCATTTGTTCACTTAGTTCTGGGCAGTCTTTCCCAGTTGTAGAACCAGGACCGCCATGCCTAGAAGTGTCTTGGTCAAATTTTACAGCCCTCTCCAATTTAAATGAATGGCTCTTGCTGTATTTGGATGGACAATTGTCTTCGGCATCAGAAAGTGAAGCCTTATTTGTGACGTATTTGGTAGGAAGCTTAGCAGAGAACAAATTGCGAGGAGTCGATTTCAATTGGAGTTCGAACACGTAGGGCTGAAGGTGTGGATGCTTAAGCAGTTCTGCAGCCTGAAACAGAGGAACCGGGATGAATAAATAAGCTCAGATTTCAGGGTGAGGTGCAATTCGCAGTGATGGTGAACCAACACATACACTTGGTCTATGATCTGGACTTTTGCGCAGCATGCTTTTGACGAGTCCCCTACTGTATGACCAGAGTAAAGATTTTCTTAGTATTTCATATTTAAGCTAAAAAGATATTATATGCTGAATCTTCATAAGGATTTTACAAGGACTGTATGTAAATTGTATAGGCCAATGACTTACAATGCACCAGAGTACATCGTTGGTAGAGGAGGTACAGCAGACTTGTTAATCTTATTTATCAGTGCTTGCATATCCTGTAAGAGTCGAAAATCACAAATGAAGGTACAGGTTATGATAAAACTAGATTTCATCAAAAACATGATGTGTTACTCACAAATGCTTTGAACGCAGGCTTGAAAGCAGCCATCTCATAGATGCAGCAGCCTGGAGAATGGACATTGCAGGAGTTTAGGTAAGATGACAGACACTCAATGTTCAGAAGAATAGGTGCAACTGAAAATTGATGTATACAATCTTACCAAGGGACCATATGTCAGACTTGGAACCATATGGAATGTCAGCAAGAAGTTCAGGGCACATGTAACTTGGAGTTCCCACAACCTTCAGAAGCAGCACATAATTACAAACAGAAGCAACATCGACAGAGAAACACGTCAAACACCGAAGGGTCGAGCAAGAAAACTCACTGAACAAGCTAAATCGTCAGAAGTTAAGACTTTAGCAAGACCAAAATCACCTGTTTCAGACCACATGTTCGGAACAAAAGGGCGTTATAGTTGAATCATTTATATGAAGGACTTTATAAATACAGTACATAGTAATTTTTCCAAAACCACACTTGACAATAGGATGCTTACCAAGCCTTATGTTTTGATCCTTTGTGAGAAATATATTGGAGCACTGAAACAGTTACAAGGAGTGATGAGTATCAGTATCACTCAAGCAGCTTGAGTCCATTGCAGTGTAAGTAACATAAAGGTTATGGATAACCTTGACATCACGATGAAGGATATGATTGATATGCAAGTAATCAAGTGCCATCAGGAGCTGCACAAGCCACATACAAAGTTTCTGCATGCAGTAAAAGGTGGACGCCACAAAGGGGCAAAGTTCAGTGAGCAGAATGTGAGGGTACAGAACAAACTGTACAGAGTACAGACTAGTTAACTACCTCTTCTGAGAAATGGTTACTGTTAGCCTTCTTGATGGCCTCGGACCTGCATAGACCCAAAAAATGTTTTGGAACAGTGGTCACAATTGTAGTTTAGATCAATTAAGGGATGAAGTTTCAGAACTCGACATACATGTCCCCTCCCTCGCAGTAACCAATGACAATACACACGTAGCAACCCTGATAACAACAAAAATCGTTCCTTTTCAAGCAATTATGAGCATACACATCCTTCATCAGGACCATTGAAACATCAAGGAAAGGAACAAGACCGGAGATTGCCCTTCGGATGCTGCAACTGTGAACAGCAAGTACAGGGGACCATGCTCACCTTCTCTACCCAAGCCTCTTTGTATTCCACAATGTAAGGATTCCTTACTTTTGCAATGAGCTCCATCTGTATGAACATTCAGCAAGGGTGGTGAATCTTTCACATGTTTTGTGTAGGTTTATTCATGTATTAGCAAAATCGACCTGAAGGGGTTAAGACTGTCCCCACAGCATTCCAAATAAGAAGACCTTCTCACCAGGCCAAGAAAACTCCTGAACCCCCGCACCACCCTTACATGGTGGCTTTCCGTCGCCCAAGTGAGAATTGGACCGGTGCCCCCCAGTGCTTTGGATATGGGACGGACGAGGGGATTTTTTTAACCTCAGCCTGAAATTCGCTCCCACGGAGAGTCGAACCCAGGACCTGAGGAGTGCCGCCAGGGTACTCTGATCAACTGGACTAGAGGGCCTTTGGCTTATTCATGCAGTTTAGCACAAGATGATAATGACAAAACAAAGTCTGCTTCCTAACTAGCAATCACGAATGCTCTACGAGGAAACAAAGGCGTTTGTCCCCTTGGAGAGCT